TCGCTCTGAAACCGCCCAGGGCGCGAAGCGCGACTAGTTTCGCAACCTCCTCCTCCTCCTCCTCCTCCTCCTCCTCCCCCTTCTCCTCCTCCTCCTCCTCCTCCGCCTCCTACTCCTCCTCCTCCTCCTCCTCCCCCTCCTCCTCCTCCTCCTCCTCCTCCTCCTCCTCCTCATGACTGGAGCGGCGGTCCTGGCCAGCACGGGGCCACACAGCCCCGTCTGCTCACGGGGCCGACGCGGGGTCACAGCAGCCCCGTGGGGCCCCCGAGGGGCTCCCCCCGAGGGGCTCCCCTCGAGGGGCCCCGCAACGTGCCAGCAGGCGTGGGTGCGCGACTGCCCGCTGAGCGGCCCTCCGTCGTCGTCGTCGTCGTCGTCGTCGTCGTCGTCGTCGTCGTCGTCGTCGTGACTAGGGGAACAAGAAGTGGCATAAACATAACAGGTCGGAGGTCCGCGCGGATTTCTCGGAACGGCGCTCGGGCCCCCCCCTGGCGCGCGGAGCGCGCCAGGGGCGGCACCGGAGGCGCCGCCAGGAGGCCCGAGCGCCGATCCGAGGAATCCGCGCGGACCTCCGAGTTGTTGTGTTTATGCCATTCTTCGTTTCCCAAAGGACAGGGGCCAACTCTAGAGCGAGGAACAAAATGGCATAAGCATGAACTGCTGACGGTCCGCGCAGATTTCTCTTCGACCTGCGCAGGGCGCCCCGCCCTGGCGCGCGGAGCGCGCCGCGGGTGGCGCCGCCAGGGGGGTCCAGGGAGAATCGGGGATCTCGGAGATCGGGCAAGGATCATCGTGAATCTTTGAGATCTGGCGGTTCTGGAGGACGTCGCGGCCTTCTCGGCGAGTTCTGGAGCGCTCTGAAAGCGTTCCGGAACGTTCCGAAACGCTGTGAAACGATCTGTGCCTTCGGAGAAAGCTTAGGAATCTTAGGAAGCTCGCGAAAAGGCTGGAGGCCATCTGAACCTTCTGAGAAGGCCCGCCCTTTCTGCCTCCCCCCCTGGGCGCGCCGCCGGGAGAAGGCGGATGATGAGGAGGAGGAGCACAAGGACGAGAAGCAGGAAGAAGAAGAGGAGGAGGAGGAGGAGGAGGAGGAGGAGAAGGGCGAGGAGGAGGAGGAGAAGGGCGAGGAAGAAGAGGAGGAAGAGGAGGAGGAGGAGGATGAGGAGGAGGAGGAGAACGAGGAGGAGGAGGAGGAGGAGGAGGAGGAGGAGGAGAAGGATGAGGAGGCGGAGGAGGAGGAAGAGTCGCGAGCCCATGGAGCGACGCGCCGAGTCGGAGACGGGACGGAGCAGGGGGCAGGAAAAGGTGAGAAACGCGCAATCGAGCACAAAGCGATTTCGGGCCCCAGGGCGCATTGGCCCAGCCGAAGCATCACGGCCGCGACGAGAGGTCCCGAGAGAAAACACGCCCAGGGTCGGGGGCCAGGGACCGAAACGACCGAGGACGGACCAAAGCTAAACGAGTTAGCAAAATTACTATATGGAAAGCAGGCCGAGCCACTGGACCGCTGAGTCCGTGACCTCAAGCCTGCGGGGGATCGGAATGGGTGGGGCCTTCCCCCCCTTTGGGTGGGTGCCCTTCATAAAATTGCCCCGTCTCCACTTACGCTGGGGATTATCCTTAAGGGCAGCCTCAGGGTCACACTCCCAAAACAGTTGCGTGCGCGCCGTTTTGGCCGAGAACGCCCCACACTTGCTGCAGCCCACCAGGTCCCCAGACAGATACAGGACGTGGCCCCGAGCGCTCGCGGGAGGGACCTCCCCCGAGCGCGGCAACGGGGCCCTGGGCACCACCGCGTCCGCTCTGGACGGCGGCGTGCCCTTCCAAGCTCTCTTCACGCCCCGCGAAGTCGCCGCACCCACCGCGCCCCTTAAGGCCTCCTGGGGCCGCTCAGGTCCCTCCAGGACCTCCGCGAACCTGACCCTCGGACGAGGGGCGACGGGGGTCAGCGGCGGCGTCGAGGAGGGGGGAAGCGAGGCGAGGTGAGGCGAGGAAGGTCGAAGCGAGGGAGGAGAAGAGAGGTGGGCCTCTGGAGTCCCAGCAAGCCCTCGGGGAGCGTCCTCGACCGATCCAGAACGGCGCCCACGCTCGAGCGAGGTGAGGACCGAGGGGGAAGGAGGCTCAACGAGGGGAGGAGGAGGAGGAGGCGGGGGGGAGGTGATCCGAGGTCTAACATCCCTGTGGGACGATGACGCCCCGCCCTCCAGAGGTCGATGTCCTCCTCCTCTGGCAGGGCAATCCTCCTTCCTGAGCCTCTCGAGACCCCTACGCGTTCTGGCAAAGCGAGGGCAATGGTGGCATCGCCAGCCGCGGCCTGCCGCAACTACGTGGTGTCTTTTACTCTGCTCGCGGCCGCAGTGGCTGTCAGGTCCAGCCGACTGCGCGCGAGCTGGCTGCACACGCCCGCCGCGGCGAGCCTTCCTGCCCACGGTGGCGACCCTGTCGAGCTGGTCGCCCTCGCCGATGTCCACCTGGCAGTTGCCTATCCAGGCAGCGACCTGCCTGACCGCCTTCAGCAGTCTCTTGTGCTCGTCGTAGGCGCCCTCGGGGAAACCATGGAGCGCCGTGCCTTTCTTGGCGGCCACGTCCGCGAAGTCATTCCCAATCTTGTCGATGCTGTCGCCTGCCTCCAGGGAAGACTGATGACCCTCGATCCACGTGATCTGCAGGTCTCCACATAGCCCGCCCAAACCCTCGACCGCATGCCAGAGCTGCCGCCATAGGTCTGCATTCTCTCTCCTCACGTGCGTGCAATGCTCCTTGCCGGACGCCAAGGACTCAACGAGGCCCAGGCAGTCGGTCTTGATGTGCAGCGGAAGGCGGCCACGCTTGAGCACCTGGAGCACGGCATAGATCTCGCCGCGCTGGGCTGTCTGCTGGGGCCCTGGCAAGGGGCCGAAGGCCATGCCACGGAGGCGCCTGCCTGCTAGGATGGCAAGGCCCCATCCTGCACGGCTCGCCTCAAGCCAATATAATGGCGACGTGGCCGATCCATCCGTGAAAACTTCTCCTGTGATGTCCACGTCCTGGCCTCCCATGCAGTACCACCACCTCTGCGTGTCCACGGGTGGCGGAATATCTGGAAGTACTGCCCGCGGTAGCAGCGCCCTGGTGTAGAAGGGGTCATTCGGGGAGGCCTCTTTAGCCATGTCCAGTATCAAATCATCCACAGCAGCTGCCCTCATATCTGCACAACGCGGGCACTTCCAAAATCTGTGGTGTAGATCACCAACAACATCTCCACAATACTGGCACATCTGTGAGTCCGCATAGCCCATGGCGTAGAGGCGCTGTTGTGACCATTGCGCTCCAATGATGGTGGACCTGAGGGCGCCTCTGGCCTTGGGCTGCAGGTTCCAAGTAGTCGCCTCAGGAGGCGCGTGCATCATGGCTGCGATCGGCTCGATCCAGTAACCTCGCGGGTCACGTGGTGCAGGTGGGCGTTCTGCTGCATGTTCCACGTTGGATGCCCACTCTTCCCACTTCACCGATCTGTAGCTGCGTCTCGCCATCGTGCGCACCCACTTGGGTGCAACCTCGTTCAGCTTCAGCGTGATGCCGTTGCCCGTCTCCCAGTGTGTGGCTGCATGCGCCCTCCAGCCCAGTCGCCTCAGGTTGAGGATGACGGCGCCTGCAGGTCCAGCAATGGAGCTCCATGGAGTCGATGCCGATGCCAATGCTGCCGACTGAATCCTCCAGGCGCGCTCGATCGTGTCCATGGGGATCTTCTGGTCGAACACCAGCTGCGCCCACGTGAAGATGGGCTCCACGGTCGCCATCGCATCAGGCATCTGGTTGGGACCTTCTTCCAAGAGCGATGCAAGCCATGTGGATGAGGCCGTGGGTGTCTTGCTCCAACCTGTGCGGGCCACGTTCATCATCGTGGCCGCCGTGGCTGGAGGGGCTCCCACCACGTGGAGGCCGTATGTCATGCCTGGCGCCAGGCATGGTCGAGCGATCCGCTTGGCCAGCTTCGCCATGCCCTTGAGCTTCCTGAACCTCGGGATCCGCTCCTTGACCTTCTTGACACGCTTGTGGATCTCCAGGTAGGTCAGACGAGCCCCTGCACGACATTCCAGGCCAAGGACGCTCAGTTTGTTGACCACCTTAAAGCCATACTGAGAAACTCCTCGAGCCACTTGCGCAGCGATGTCCTCCGCTGACCCCAGGATCTTAGCTTTGCCTTTGGCGATGGGAAGCTCGAGTGCTTGTAGGACCACCGCCAACCTGCCTATAGCCGCCTGAGCTGCCTGAACAACCTCATCCGCCTTTAGCATGATCTGTAACGTGATGTCATCTGCATAGATGTCCAGAGTGTGGGGTATCTGTGTGATCGACGCCTAGTAAACATCGAATGGGAGGATCATGGTCAGTTGCAACAAATGCATTGCCACCGAGCATCCAGGTAGAGCCCCTTGTGTGGCTCTGACAGCATATGAGAAAGTCGTCCCCCATGGAATGCGCCGCGGAGCGGCATACATGGCCAAGACACTGCGAAGGATGTGGAGGGGAAACTCCAAGTGCTTGGCGGCCTCGATGATCTTGATCCACTTGAGCCTGTCAAAGCACTTGCTGATGTCGATCAGGGCTGTGATGATGGCGTCCTGGTCACTTGCGTCGGCTGCTTCAGCGTAGACCATGGTGCGCGCACCCACATCTATCGTAGATCGTCCTGATCCCAGGGCGAAGTATGGACGCGTGTGATTGGCCGCCCATCTACGCACGTGGACGATCCTGATCTTGGCATACACCCTGTAGATGGACGGGAGCAAGGCTATCGGCCTGAAGCCGCCCTGGGGCTTCGCCAACAGCGCCACGTGAATGGCCATGATGGTGGTGGGCCATCGTCCCCAGGCCTCCGCAGCCCATAGTAGGTACACTAGCATGGCCACGGCGTCGTCGACCAATAAAGAGTATGCACGTGGGGACATTGCGTCAGCACCAAGTCCCGTCTTCCATGCAAAGGATCTCGAAGCTCGGCGCACGTCTTCGATCGTGGGGACCTGCATGGCCTCGCATGGCAAGGTGCGGATGAGCTTCATCAGGTCGTCCTGGCTGTCTGCTATGTGCTCGACGTCGAACTCGTTGTCGCCGAGGCTGGCATCACAGGTGATGCTGTCCACGTCCTTGTAGATAGTGTCCTTATCCGCAGCTCTGGAGATCTTGGTACCTTGCCATATGTCGTTCCACATGTCCATCTGGCAGTCAGCTACTGCTTGTGGAAGGGCTGAGCGAACACCGAACCTATCTACTTCATTGTGCGCCCATCCCTTCAGCTTGGTCATGCCGAAGACTGGAGAGGCGCCAGTGATAAGCGCGTCCTGGGCCCACTTGTGAAAACTCTTAACCCTCTTGCTGGCTGCCTGCTGCTCGAGGCTCTTGGCATGGCCTTCAAAGGTCAGGGCGAGAGCTTTGACAAACCGGATGCACTGTGAGGCCTCCAGTCTGTACGCATAATGTAGCACGGGCCACGCCCACTCGAACAGTATCACGCCATCCGCCGCGTGGATGTCCTGACGATGACCTGGCCGAAGAGCTCTCGTGATGCGGGTCCATTTGGATCCTATAATACCTGAAGCCCGACACCTCGGCGGGGTGGGCCCCCCGCGATCGCCCGCTGCAAACTTCGAGTGCAAGCTGAAGCCCGAGTCGCTGGTGCCACCTGAACAAGTAGATGTCCCACGAGAAAATTCATCGTTGTCACGATCCTGTGGCGTCATCAGCTGCGTAGCCATGCGAACATCAAACTTCAAATGAGAGCAGGATCCTGCGTTGCCTTCGCCGCCTGCATAAGTCGAAGCCGAAGATGTAGTTGGCGATGTATGGCCTGCTGGCCCTGCTCTTTCCAGCTGGGCGGCCAGGTCTTGCAGCGCGATGGTCACATTGCGCATGCATCGGGCTTCTGAGCCCGCTGCTGGAGCTCCTTTGAGGATGGGCCCTCCCGCCGGGCGCCAGACATACGCAGAAGCTTCCGCTCTTCCACAGTACTTCTCACGATCTTGCACGTCCACCTGGTAGATATGGCAGAGGTCCTGTTCCACGAACGAGATGAAATTGGCGTGGAGGCCGTCGAGCCGCCGCTGAGCCTGGTCCCCATCTTCAGGTCGTCCGAGATCAGCATCTTGCCTGACCACGTCCAGGTAGGGCTGCAACTTGGGCGGCCCATACAGAGGACTGGCCCCTGAGTACCGCGGTGCCTGCTTGGGGAAAGGCTTGGGCGCTTCGGGGTGCATCTGCATGTGCGCCCTGGGCTTCGCGCCGATATCCATGCGCACAGGATAGTGGGGCCTCGGTGCCCAAGAGTCAAGCACGTAGGGGACGCCGCAGGCCTTCGCAAAGCCAGGTGAGGCCAGCCAATAGTCGATGGTGCTGTAGGTCCCCGTCTTAGCCGATCGGCATGTACCCGACGTCCGAGGGGCCACCGCGATGGCAGGCATGATCCGCAAGAAGCCCAACACCTCCATGTTGGCAGGCTCCGCGTTCCAGTCGCCTGCGAAGATGAATGGCGCAGAGAAGTAACGCATACACTCCGCGATGCGCACGAGCTTCTGGTAGTTAGTGGTGAGAAAGTCGGGGTCTGGGACCGACTCCATGTACGCCGAACCGACGATGAATCCCCCCTTGATCCCCGCGTGCACGTGCACTGCCACCGCCCACGATCGCAGGATCTCGAACCCGCCAGTAACGCCCCCAACACCACTAAGAAGAGTAGTGGATACATGCGCCCTGACAAAGATCCCCACGCCCGCACTCGGCAGCTTGGTAGCCAGGCGCCTGCACGGACTGATGAATGGCTGCCATCCATTTCTCGTCGCCCATGCTCGCGCCTGATCCAGAGCATCGCCATCAAGCCGAAGTTCCTGAGCCATCACCACCAGCGCATCTGTCGCTCCATTCTGCAAAAACTGCTGGCACGATCGCCAGCAAGACCCATTGAATGTGACAATCCCCATGCTGGTGCGCGCCCTACGGCGCGTGGCTCGTCTATGTGGTGCCCGCATATTCCCACGCTGCCTCTGCTGGTCCTGCTGGCGTCGGTGCTGCAGGTACTGGTGATGCTGCAGGTGCCCGTGCTGCGCCTGGTGCTGCATGCTGCGCAGCTGCTGTGGCTGCTGAGTGGGCGCCAACGCCAGCGGGCTGCCCGCCCGCGGTGCGAAAAGCCTCCACTTCCATCGCCGTCTGTCCTGGCTGAGAAGGCTTCGGCACGGCGTCCCCCAGCGTGCGGACATGTCCGACCAGCTGCTCCAGGATGGCACCGCCCACGATGTTGCGATCCTGGCCCTGCTGGATGGAGTTGTGGGCTGACTGAAGGAGCTGCTGGAGAGCCGCCACCGATGATGCCGCGTCGCCACCCAGTGGTGCGGTATGTGCTGCATTGGCCAGCTGGGCCTGGGCCACCTCCTCATTGGACTCCACGAGTTGCTGCTTGACGCGGTCCAGCTTGTCTGTGGCCGATTTGAGCTGGGCTGCCAGCGTGTCGACCTCCGTCTGAAGCTTGGCCCGCTCCTCCTCACGGGATGCCTGCCTGTCCAGCGCCGAACGGAACACGTCGGCAGGCGCCATGTGAGCTCTCTCTTGTGCTTCGGCCTGGCCGAGCTCGGCCTTGGCCGCCACGACGAGGGAGTGCTCTTCGTCATAGATGCTGCGCAGCGCCTTGTGGGCCCGACGGCACTTGACCACGGCGTTGGACTCCGCGGTGCCCCCGCCGTCGGCTCCAGGAGGAGCGCCGCGATGATGGCGATCACCGCCAGCACCATGCGAGCGAGGCCTGGTCGCCGAGCGTGGCCTGGTGGGCTGGCGAGCGCCCTTGGCGCCCGTAGGCCTGCCCTGGCGGTCGCGGCCACAGGCCCAGCAGGTCTCGCGGGTCGCGTAGTTGCTGGCGAACCCGCATGCCCGCGTGGCCGCGCATGCCCACACAGGGCCGCCACCGCCACGCCCCTGAACTGTGCGCCAAGGGGCTCCATGGGCCACGTCGTCCTGCGCCATGGCCTCGCCGTGGTGGCCTGCCAGCGTCCTGCGGGCCTCCGCGGCGCGGAGGAACTGGCGAGCCTCCGCGCGGCGCCGCCGCTGCCGCCTGTGCCAGGCTGGCGACGGCGAGCGCTGTCGAGGCGAGCGGCCAGCCGTCGCCGATGTGCACCAGCGCCCGCAATGGCCGCGGGCCGCCAGCGTCTGGGGCCAGTTGGACGCCCCCCTCGCGCGCCCCCGCGCGCGTGGGAGCCCAAATGGCAGCCTGGAGGAGGAGGAAGAGGAGGAGAAGGAGGAGGAGGTCGAGGTGGAGGAGGAGGAGGGAGGAAGAGGGAGCAGGAGGGGGGAGCAGGAGGAGGAGGAGGAGGCAGAGGAGGAGGAGAAGGAGGAGGAGGAGGAGGAAAAGGAGGGAGCAGGAGGAGGAGGAGGAGGAGGAGGAGGGGGAGGAGGTGGAGGGGAGGAGAGAGGAGGAGGAGGAGGAGGAGGAGGAGGAGGAGGAGCTGGACGAGGGAGGAGCAAGATGAGGAGGAGGAGGCGGAGGAGGAGGAGGAGGAAGAGGAGGAGGAGGAGGAGGAGGAGGAGGAGGAAAAACGCGTCTCAGAGGAGGGCGGTCGGCCTCCCCCGCACGAGGGGCCCTGGTCACCACCTGAGATGCCAGGACGCCCCGACCGTGAAATCGAAGAAGTCGAACTCACGCAGCGGCTCAGAAGAGAAACGTCAACACCTCGACGAACCACACGGCGACGAGGGCCAGCAAGACCTTGACCCCCGCGTCGGCAACCATCAACGCCATGAGCTCCACGAGCTCCCCACACGGCACCTGCCCCAGCAGACGCCCGGGCACGGCGGCGCAGCAACGGGCGGGCGGGCCGGGCGGGCCAGCGCTCGGCGAAGGGCCGTGCGGCGCGCGTTCCGCCACGGCCGAGCCCCGACGAGGCCCAGCTTGTGTTCGTGCGGCGCCGCGCCATGCCCCTCTGTTGCAACAAGGCGCGCGACGCCTCTCCGCCAGCCCCGCTCCGCTCGCGGGCCCCCCAACAGACGACCAGCGACGCGCGGCCCGCGGCTAGTGCCGCGAGAGCGCCCAGGCCAGCGCTCGGCGGCGACCAGCGCGGTCAGCGCGGCGATCGACCGCAGCGCCCAGCGGTGCTGAAGCGGCGGGCGATGCCGCCCAGCAGCGCCGTGGAGGAGCCCACGGCGGCGGGCGGCCTGCGTCAGCGGCATCGGCACCGCCGCGGGCCCCGCACAGCCATGCCGCCGCGCAGAGGGGGCGGGGGAGGAGGCGCGGGGGAGGAGCGAAGGCGGCGGCGACTGGCGGGCCCAGCAGGCAGGCCTGAGCACAGACCTGACTAGGAGGAGGAGGAGGAGGAGGAGGAGGAGGAGGAGGAGGAGGAGGAGGAGGAGGAGGAGGAGGACGGGGAGGAGGGGGAGGAGGAGGAAAGAGGAATATGACAATCAGAATAGTAATCGTAATAACGATCCTAACAATAATAACGCTAATATGGCTGAGCGAATAGAAAAGCTGGTAACACAACGATGAGGATAAGAATGGCGATGCTCATACATAGTAATGTGTGTGCAGGCGGGGGTTAGAGCGGTAGCTCATAGGGAATAAAGGGGAGCCGTTCTTACTCCCTCTACTCGCTGGCCAAAGCTGTTGACAGAGCTTCGAGTGCCTCGAGACAACGGCACCAGCATGTGCGAGCCACAGGGCTCACCCCGAGGCCACGGCAGAATTCACACCTCGAGTGTACCACCGTCGTGCAACGACCGGGGTCAGAACGCCGTCCCAAGAGGGCCTCGAGGGGGAGCAGACTCGCACCACGCTGTGCCCAGAAGCCCGAGAAGAAGAAGCGAAGCTCTCGCGAGACGTTGAACGGGCAAGAGCGGCCAGGCAGAGAAGGAGCCCGGACGGCATGGCACAGGGCGGACTGCGGGCGGGCCACAAAGGCTGCCATGCATTCTGATGCGACCAACGTACGCTCATTACCCCTCCGCCACACATTGACCGTAAACGTGCTCATGTGTGTGCAGGCGGGGGTTAGAGCGGTAGCTCATAGGGAATAAAGGGGAGCCATTCTTACTCCCTCTACTCGCTGGCCAAAGCTGTTGACAGAGCTTCGAGTGCCTCGAGACAACGGCACCAGCATGTGCGAGCCACAGGGCTCACCCCGAGGCCACGGCAGAATTCACACCTCGAGTGTACCACCGTCGTGCAACGACCGGGGTCAGAACGCCGTCCCAAGAGGGCCTCGGGGGGGAGCAGACTCGCACCACGCTGTGCCCAGAAGCCCGAGAAGAAGAAGCGAAGCTCTCCACTCCAAGAACACCCAAAAGCTCTCCAATGTGTTCCGAAATATGGCCGAAGGCCGCCCACAACATCCTTCAGAGTCGCGCCTGGCCTGGATTGGAGGTTACTTGCAAAAGTATGCCCGAGCGCGGGCAATCAAGGTCCTTAGAAGGACTGGAGCGAGGAACGGGTGGCGGCAGAAAACGCATGTCGGCCAAAAATCGTGGCCCCACCTGAATGTAAATATTGCTGTCTTTATTAGCTCCAATGTCCTCGGAGCACACTTCAGGCAAGTCGCCTGTCAGCAAGTATTCATGCGTAGCACCGCCTCTGCGCGTATACAGACTGGGCCGAGATGCGCGCGCCCGATTCTCGCAGGCCAGTGCGAACAAGGAAATGAAAGGCACGAGGAGACGAGGACCATGAACGCCTGTCACGCTGCAGCTGCATACGGATGACCGCTCCCTCAAGCGGGTCATCTAGCGTCGTCGTCTCTCGTGCTCCCTTTTTGACAGGCTGTCCGTGTCTATGGCAGCGACACTATGCTCTGCCGCAAGGCTAGAGCTGAAATCATGCGCGCCAGAGTACGGTGGCGCGCCCTCAACAGTGCTGCACCAAACTCAGTGTAACGTGCACCCTCGGCCCACAGCAAGGTAAACTTGCAATGTGGCATCTGTGTCTTCCCATTGAACGGCAACGGCAGATTCACGGCGTTAAGATGGCCGACGAACTGCTGGCTGCTCGACGGAATCTAGCAAGAGCGGCAGCGCCGATCTGGGCATCTTGCAGCTTCCCCAGGCCAGCTCTGGCCGTGCGCCTGTCGGCGGGGCTAGGATGCTTCCCCTTCCTTCAGGCGCGACGGCGCGCCCGCGGGGTTCCGAGCAGATGAGGTGAACCCGAATGCTGCCCGCGCGCCCATCGCCAGCCCCCAGGCCGAGAAGCTGCGCGCAACCTTGTTGAGCTGACTGCTGCTCGAACGGCGCTTTGAGAGCGCACCGATGTTGACCATGCTGTCGAGGAGGTGCAAGAAGACTCGCTGCTGTCGGCCCAACGATCGAGCTCGCCATCGAATCATCATCAGCGCGCCCTGGCACTCCAGTGCATTGATATGTTCAGGAACATCCCACACCAGCTGTCGTGCCTTACGCCGTTGCCAAAGACCTGCATCAATCTCTTGCCGAGGGAAAACTTTGCTGAGCTCCTCAGAGCTCCCGTCACCACGAAGATCCGCACCATTGCTGTGGCACGCCATCACAAGGCCCATCACCAGCCTACGCGAGACATCCGCATCACGCCAGGACGTAGCATCGCGTTTGGCCAGCTCTGCAAGCAGCACATCCGCATGCCATGCTTCGGACTGACTGCAGTGGCAGACCAGCTTGGCACCGCGCAGGTCCTCCAGGCGGCGAAGCAGCTCGGGCTGCTTGCGCAGCCATCCAGCAAACAGCGCCACCGCGTCCTCGCGGGAGCAGCTCGGGCCCACTGCGAACGGGTTGCCGAAACACGACGGGGCGAGGCCCCA